CCCTCCTTTCCAGCTCAGTTATGCGTTCTTCATAAAACTGTACAGCTAATTTTCATTGTCTTAAATATCTCGTAAGTCATCCAAACGCTCTCCCAACTGTCTTTTCGATTAAAAAGTCCAGAACAATTTTCGAATTTAACCTGACTATTCTTTCATTCACTCTAAAAACCTTCAAATCTCTGAATCATTCAAAGCAATCGCGCACTTGCCGTTTGATCTCCAAAAGCTGAGAAACACCCCCACTCAGTGAACTTCCGTTAGTAAACCAGGCCCTATAATTCACTGACCGAACCTCACTATACCCCCCCCCCGCCCGACCCACCACGAATCCAACGTATTTTCCAACCCCTGCTAAGAACCCGTCTCTCCCCCCCCTCCTCTCTCCCTCTCCTCTCTCCCCCTTTCTCTCATCCTCTCTTCCCCTGTCTTCTCCTCTCTCGCGTATCTCATCATAACGTGGTGAGCAGTCTCTACGCTAGCCGGCTACTGCTCACTTTCCCCACGCTGCGCGCAGTGACTGATTCATGCACGCGCCGTTTGCTGTGTCTAGCGGGAGTGTTGGCTTTTTAAGAGGGCGCGGTTTCTTCCCCAGTGAAACATACCTCCTGGGCTGGGGCTAAACCGGGCAAAGCCGCGTTGTTGTGTACTGAAGGTGGTCATTTATTGGCTCAGCGAATATATATATATATCGCAGTTCTAAAGGTACAGCGCTTTAGCGTGAGGTACAACGTTATTGTGTGTAAATGGTTTGGCTTCATAGTGTGTTGTAAGTGATCTGTGTTAAAAATTGTGTTCGGAGATTTCTCAACTTGTGGCCTCAGGTAGGGGACGAACAAAAAAAAAGTGCTTTGTTTTGGATTTTTTTCCTTTGCTCTTGCTTTTGAACCTATTTCGGATGTGTTTCTTTCTGCTACAAGGGGTACCTACAGTGCGTTCCCGAAAGTTAAACTATACTTGCACTTTTAAATCAGATACGCTCGATTGTCATAAGAAAGTCTACAATAATAGTAAAAGTAGAAGCGGTTCTACTTCATATAGGCATATACAGCAAAAGTAAGGGAAAAAAACAACAACAAAAAAATACGACATTAAAAAAACCCAAAAAACAAACAAACCCCAAAACAACAACAACAACAACAACAACAACAACAACAACAACAACAACAACAACAACAACAACAACAAC